CCGGCTCGTCTTTTTCTGCGGCGGGGAGGGGGAGATCGGAAAGCAGCGTGGGCAGGCAGCGCGGCGCCCACGGGGGTGCGGATGGGTGGAATGATGTGCTCACGCGGGTGCGAACGGATTTGGAAGCCAACACGCCGTGTCCTCAAACTGTGTGTCTTTCTACGAACTTTCTGAAGACCCATCACCTGCCTTGCAGACAAAAGGGGGTGGGGTGGGGCTGTGGGCCAGGGTGCGCAGCTGACCTGGAGCCTGGCCAGCCTCCGTGCCCCCACCTTACTGGAAGCTGCTTTGCTTGACCTCTGCCTTCGTACCCCCCACGGCACCCCCACACTGTGTGGACCCAGATCAACTCATTCACGGACAGAACCACCAGCAGGGAGGAAGGGTCTGGGCTGTGTGGAGAAGGGCGTCCGAAGCTCGAGGTCCCTGGTTCACTCCCAGGCCGTGTCCGAAGAGGAAGGTGGGCCTGTGGGAACAGGGATGGGAACGAGAAAGGCCCACGTTTTCTTTCCAGGAGACGGACGGTGCCCAGGCTGAGGGTGAGGCGCCCGCCCTGCGACTGCGTAGACTACACGGCTACACAGAGACCGGCGCTGTGTCTCTGAAGTAGGAGAGCTGTATGGCCCGCGGGTGCAGGTTCATGAAGCCATCCCAAAGGAACAGAAGTCCCATGAGGGAAACCCCGAGGGAGGCAGTGGGAGCCCGGAGAGCTCACCATCGCCCACTCCGGGGCTCCCAGGCCTGGGCTCTGAGTGCTAGCAGCTCGGGAAGGCTTCTCGGAGTAGGGGCACCAGCAAGGTGCAGGGGTGTGGGGGCTCTCCCTGCAGCTGAGGCCGAGCCTGAGGGTGATCAGGTGACAGGGTGTCTCACCTGGGAAGGCCCCCCCCACGTGCCTGCAGAGGGCACCTGCCATGAGCCACTGCTGCTCCTCGGCCAAGGCTGCTGGGCCGCTCAGCTTGCTCTCCTGACCTCCTCTCCCCCTCCCCCGACCTGGCAGGAGCTGAGCAGGGGTCAATGGTGACCTCCTGTCCTTCTGGCCTCCCAGGGCCGGGAGGAGGCAGGGGAGGCAGGGGAAGGCCAGGCTGGGGCACAAGGCAGGAAGGAAGAGCAGGCATTTCCTGAGGCCCCCAGGGCTCCTGAGGAGGAGGCCAAGGCACAGCTGTGGCTGCTCCCCGGCACCAGCCCCCTCCAGCCTGGCTGGCCCGTGTGAGTCCCAAACCCTAGCTAGGGCCCGTCCCCCAAGGGCTAAGGGGAGCTGGGCAGTCCTGACACAGGTATGGCCTTGCCCATTGGGGCCGAGAACTGGGCCCTCGGGACTAGAGGAGCCTGGCCGCCTTAGACATGGGGTGAGGGTACCCCTGGCCCTGCCCTTGCCCTGCCTGGGACCCTCAGCCAGCTCTTGCCCTGCTGCTGTCGCCCCAGCCCCGCAGGTAGCAGCACGACCCAGGACACTCCGAGACAGGAGGATGAGGCAGGGACACACAGGAGGAGGGAAGGGGTGGGCCAGGCAGGGGCTGAGAGTGGGTAGGCAGGGCTGGCCAGCAGCTCTCCACACCAGGGAGGGCAGGCCACGAGGCCTCTGGTGCCCTCTGGGTGTGAAATGCTGGCTTTCAGGCGGGGCCTGGGAGCGGGGCCTGGGGGCCTGTGATGGCAGCAGCTGACATAGGCCCCACCCGGGCTCTAGCCCGTCTAGCTGCCTCTCCCCAGTAGCTGCTTCTCCCAAGTCCCTGGGGCCCTGTGGGGGCTGGTCCAGGCCTGCGGCCGTGGCACGTCATTTCTCTGCATCCCATGAGCTCTGATGGTGCCACGGGAAGGGTGGAGACTGGGGCAGGGGTTGGGGCTGTGGCGAACAATCTAGACAGGCAGCATCGCACCCTCACGGTCCTCAGTGACCATGTCCGCAGAGGTGGATGTGCCCACGCCGACATGAACATCCGGGTCCCTTCTCAGGCAAGCTCCCAGCCGTGGATGAGGGTGAGCGGGGCTGGGGCTGAGTGGGCCGAGCCTCCACCCTCTGGAAGACTCCCAGTGCCCCATGGCCGAGGCGTGGCTGGTGGAAGCTGGCACTCTCCACGCCAGGAGCTTTTTTTGACCTTCCCTGAGGACATAATCACATGGCATCTCTTGTCTCCGGGCCACCAGGGCTGTAATTTCAGGGCCCGAAGGGGACTCCGCAGAGGCCGGGCCTGTGTCTAGCTATCTTTAGAGAGGCACGGTCTGGACGGGCATGGTGAGCACTGGGGAGGCAGAGGGAGGGCCCATGGTCTTCCCTGGGGGGAGGCCTGCCCCAGGGGTGGCCCCGCACAGGTAGGGTGGAGCCATCTCTAGGCTGATGCCCACCAGAGGCCAATGCTTGGCCTGATGGCGGACAGCCCAGCGCCTCCCAGATTGTCCCTGCGCGCGTGACCGTAGCCGTGGCCTCTTCCTCGGCCTCCTTCTCCTGGGGGAGTGGCTCGAGCGGACATTGCCAAGACGTGCAGTTGAGGTGTGCGGTGGGGGCGGGGAGAAGCTGGCGGCTGGAGGAGAATTTAGAGGCTGGTGATTCTGGGATCGTGTCCCCCGTCTCCACTCCTCCTGGCCCTCGTTGCCCTTATCGTCAGTCCACTCTGTCACCTCGTACCCCTATCTCGATCTGGACTGAGGAGTGCCTCACCCCAATCACGGTGGTCATGATTGTCACTACAGTGTCCCCTCGGATGCCATACCTCGGAGGGAGCTGGTGCCCGCTCCGGGGAGAAGCGCGGTAAGCCCTGCCTTGGGCAGGCACGAGGGCCCACCGACACCAGGCAGGCACGCAGTGTTGTGTTCGCCTTGGACTGGGCTTTCTCTGGGGGTGTCCCTTGCAGGGCTGGCCTAGACTCTGTCCTGCTGACCAGCCCTCCTTCCCCACAGGGCTGACACCCCCCTCCAGCTGCTGGCCCCTTCGGGAGAATGGCCTGGGCTGAAGAGAGTCACGATGACCTGGGGATGTAAAGAGCCAGAGTGTCCGCGCCGCTGGCGGGGTGTGGGCCTCAGGAGCTTCGCGTAAACGTCCCGAATTCTACACCCCTGCCCCTCAGTGGGGCGGTGGCAGGAGGATGGGCCCCTACCTGAGAAGGGTGGACTCAACCTGGACTCACCCGTGGATGCCTGCTCGTCCCTGGCCCTCCCCCCAGCACCGGCTTGGGCTGCCCAGCAAAGGACGTGGGGCCCCAGTGCCTCCGGTCTGTGCTCCGTACCGTGGGGAGGGGGGGTGGGAGCTGGAGGGTGACCCGAGCAGGAGGCCGGGGAGGAGGGGTCGTGAGAGCTGGGAAGGCAGGGCCAGCGCCTTGAGGGCCGCTGACCTCCGACCCCACCCAGACAGGAAGTGCCATATCTGCAGGCCCAGGCCCGAGGAGAAGGAATGCAGAGAGGAGGCCAAAGCAAACACTCCGCCAGCTTCCCAGGCCTCACCCCGCCCCCGCCAGAGCCTGGCCCTTTCTCAGAGAGACCCAAGAACCAAGAACCGCGGGGGTGGGAGGTAGGGGGATGGAGACTCGGCCCAGACTCAGTTCCCAGGCCCAGACCCCACCAGAGCCAGCGGCGGAGCAGGTCTCCACAGTGGACACGTTGGGACCTTTCTGCCTTCACTCGGCCTATAGCTGGCAGCCCTGAGGTCTGGGCACCCCCTTTCCTGGTGCGTCCTGCCTGTCACCTGACCGTCTGCCCCCACGGCCCCAGGGACAGGGGTTAGGCCTGCCATGCTCTCTGCTGTTTGTGGCCTCAGCACGGGACAGGCGGCATCGTGAGCTGTGGGGGCTGACTGTTCCCCCATCGCCCCCTCGCACAGCGGGCTCCACAGTCCCTGTGCCCCACCGAAGCACAGCTGGCCAAGCCCACTTGCGGAGCTCAGCAGGGCCTCACCAACCCTGCCAGGCGGCAAG